AAAGGTTTTGAATTTCGAATTAAGAACAATAGTTGTTCATTCTATTTCGATAATGTTTTATATGGTAAAGCATATTCAGAAAATGGTCTTTATGTGCTTTCTCTTGACAAACAAGTCTATACCATTGAGTCGAATCAAACCTACTTGTGGCATTGTCGTCTTGGCCATATTAACATCAAATGCATCAAGAAACTTCTACAAGAAGGTGTTCTTGACTCATTAGACTTGGAGTCGTTTGAAAATTGCGAAGGATGTCTATTAGTCAAGATGATAAAACAACCATTCTCCAAGTTGGGAGAAAGGGTAAGTGACTTATTAGGTCTAATACACACGGATGTATGTGGAACAATGAGTACACCCGCAAGACAAGGTTACCGATATTTCATCACCTTCACCGATGATTTTAGTAGATATGGCTATATCTACTTAATGTCGAATAAATTTGAATCTCTTGAGAAATTCAAAGAATTTCAGAAAGAAGTTGAAAATCAACTTGGCAAGAAAATTAAAGCACTTCGATCAGATCGAGGTGGCGAATATTTGAGCCATGAGTAAGATCAATATAATAAAAAAGCATTAAAAGCGCCTTGAGACTTAGTGTTTGATGCAATTACCCCGTATAGTTATAGAATTCACAAAAGGCTTGGATTGAATCCTATAATTTTTTATTAAGTTAGAAATAAATCTAAAACTTACAAGCATACTATTTACCATTGGATGGTAAGGGAGTAGGGTCTTGTAAATTATCTACGACAAATCCAAATTCCAAATAATGGTTAGAGGCTATAAAATTCAAAAAGACTCCACGTTTGAAAATCATGTTTGAAACTTGAATGATTTGCATGAAGGGTTAAGACTCATAAATTGCAAATAAGTTTTCAAGGAGAAAACTAACATATATGGAATTGTAAATGTATACATAGCTAGATTAGCTAAAGAGGAAATAATTAAATTCACGGCGTTCATCTTACAAAACCTATTCACTAATTTGAATGCTTAAGTCTTTTCGTGATTATTCTAGCAAAATTAGCATATGAAATATGGCAAAAAAGATACCAAAACCGCCTTCCTAAAAATGGGATTTTAGAAGAGACTACGGATATCGTCTAAGGGTTTTGTAAATCTAAATAATGCTAGTTTTGAAAGCAAGCTCAAGAAATCCATTGGTGGATTGAGAGAAGCATTGCATGTAGGAACTGGAATGTGTTTTCTCATAAAGTTAGAAAAAGTTTTACCTTATGGAGAAACATAGAAATTCTTTGGTAAGTAGTTTAGTGGGAGAAAAAGTCAATTCTGTAAGGTCCAATAAGAAGTTTACGAACTCTATTGTAAAATAACTGTCAAATGCTAAATGCTGAGATTTGAATGAATTTTTCAATGACGGACCAAGGTAAAGGCGATACTTAGTACATAATGGCAATTAAGATCTAGTGGATAGACTTAATAAAATGTTTTAACGAGTAAAGGAATTTACCGTGGATAACATGAAGGACCTGAAAAGGCTTTCAACCCATATGTATAAAACTAAGTAAATCTTTGAACTAAGTACAAGCTAGGCAACTATTGAGTCAAACAAGAAAGACTCTAGTAGAGACTTTCAACCGTATCATGTAGCAAACATTTTAGCAAGACTTAGTGAAACTAGATGAGCTAAAAGTCACATGAATGGGATGAAATTGAAAATATTTCAGCAATTGAATCCATCATGTGTGCTACGATGTGGAATCGTCACATGACCTGCATGCTTAGAGCATGACAAGTATAAAACACCAATCGACTAGAATCTAAGCAATGGATCGTTAGATTATGATCAAGAACATCCAAAGTACTTGGTTAAGTGAAAGGATGAGTATTTGATGTAAGGAAACAAATATATTTTGAGTATTGATGTTGCAAGCACAACCTTAGCAAGGATTATATCCTTAACAAGGTAGCCATTTATAAGCGCGAGGTTAAGACGCATCGTGGCTTGAGAATGGCAACATGAACTTATGTCCATGTATATTGTGCGGAAATTTAAGTTAAATTTCTATAATCACAAATGATTAAGGTATCCAAATCATTATGAGCCACTTGGAGTAAAATCCAAGAAAAGCATCATTAGGAAATCTGCTAAACTATATGTTGAGAACATTGTTGCCTTAGAGGAAATAATAAGGAAGTTGTTAAATGGATATTTCATTGATGAACTTTGATGATTATAGGTTGTCATGTTGAAGTTCGCAAATCATGGAAATGAGTGAGAGCCATCATTTGGACAATAAATCCTAAATCACGAATAATCCATAACACTCTCGAACCTTATCATCTTATTATGAGAGTTTTTGATAATGAAGGTGCCAAGTTTTGAAAAGTAATCATAACTAAACCTATGCAATAAGTGAACCACAACATTCACAATTGCGTAAAAGAAATAAAGCATATTACATATGGGTGTGATTTCTATAAATGTTTTGTGAAGAATATTACTCTTGAAACATTTGGTGAAAACCATTTATCATAAGATGAAACGTTGAAAAGTTTTATAGTGGAATAAAATTTTACTAATAATTCCACATACTATTTAATTGTGGTTTACAATTAAATAATGAGTCCATTCAATTTGACGATATTCAAAATAGGATATCAATACCATGTCTTCGATAAAGAAACATCTACTAAGGGAACATTGAATATCATATCGAAATAATCCCTAATCGAGGTCATTTGAAAGTTGGACAACTACTGACCACGTTAGATTAGTTTGTAGTATGATTTATAACACCTTTTCTTGTACTATAAGGACATGATTGTCATAAATCATTTGCACAAGTATTGGTTTGGAACTATATCAGATTGACCTATGATAATACTTTAAGAGATTTGACAATTTTCATAAGTATATCGTTCATTATGGCTATCAGAACCTCTTTCGTCGACCATGAGTGTTGTTAGTTCTCATTATGGCTTTAATGTTGTCAAACATCTGCTGTAAAACGGGATTATAAAGGCAACAGTTTGGCGGCTAGGGCCTCTTAGTAAGGGAAGCTAACAATACAAGACTCATAATGTCCCCTATTAACAGTTGGGAACATGTCTTTGTTGTTAACAAGGCCTCTCGAAGAGCGAGACTGTGAAAATGCATGGCCGTGCTTAGATGGATTTTAGAAATCATCTGCTTATTGACAGTTGAACTCGGAAATCGAGAAACACTTTTGGATGTAATAAGGATGATGAAGAATCTTACCTTACAGTCCATGAAGAGTCATTAAGTGACATAAGAAATTGGATATACACAATCAGCACACTTGTTCGAAAGGACAAGTGGGAGATTGAAAAGAATGGTGTCCTTCGAACAAGTGTATTATTCCGATAGAGGCTTCGGAATTAATTAGAAAACTAATTATTCAATGAGAGAAAGTGATCGGAATGCCTAGTTGGAGGATGCTTCCTATCAGTAATATTGATGAATAATTAATATTACAGCTTAATCTTGACTTATCCCTTCAGGTCACACCCAATCGTGTAACCGAACCAAAACGACAAATTAATCCGAAGGATTAAATGAGTCAATGGAGTTACTACGAAATAAGACATCGTATTCCGAGCTTAGAACGTCGAAGCCGAGAGTCTATCTTCAATACGATTCTAGGAATCGACGAGACATAAAATAATCAAACAACACGATATACTAGGCTAGAAAAAGGCCTTGCCACACCACACTAGTGGAGGCAAAGCCAAACAGCAGCCCAAGCCCTCGGTTAGGCTCAGCATGGTGCAGGCCGGGGCATGTGAGGCTGGACGTGCTATTGCCGCACAAGCCCTCGCACAGGCCAAGTCACAAGCTGGCCGAGTGATGCGGGGCTGTGCAATCTGGCCGCAAGGGGAGCCCGCAAGCGAGTAGCGCCTAGTAACAATCTAGTTGGCCTGCTGTGCTTGTTGGCCCAACTGAGAGCTCAAGGGTTGCATACATGGCACCCTTGTTGCCCGAGGCAAAGGGTAGCCACATGGTGCATGCTTAGAGGGGGAGAGCATTTGCGTTAAGAACAAGGGGACATGTGGTCCTCCCTTGTGGTCCTCAGCTAACCCGTCCCATGTGTGTGCCAAGTGTTGTTTGAATATTTGTCTTGCTATTTAATTTAATTTAGAGTTAAATTAATTCATTTTTTTTTCTCACTTTACCAACTATCCCACATTGAAAGATGATGGGAATTTTTGAGGTGACTTCCCTATAAATACCCATCATGGGGTATTGAGTTTTTCTCTTGAGTTGTTGAAATTGAAGGGATCTCCAAAGAAAGAAAACCTTTGTTCTAATACCCTGAGAAATTTTTGGTCTAACCCCGATTAAGCTTTGTGGTAGGGGCCGGCTTGGTTCAGTAGCAAGGGTGTTAGCCGTTGGAGGTTTGCGCATTTGCGGGACTCTACGCTTTCAAGTCCGACCTCTAAGTTAGAGCGAAGCACGCTACAAGGGTAATGATTCTTTCTCTCTCCTCTTATTAATTACGTGATTATGGTTTTAATGAATGCTTAGTTACTTTAATTTGTGTGCGGATTTTAGGCGGGTTTCCTTTCGCGTGGTGTTGGACATCACGAAACCCAGCACCAAGGTTATAAAGAGAATTTTGAATTACTTTTCCATTGATGTTGTAAGGTATTGAAAAATTGCCCGAATCTTTCATCTTCTTGGGTAGGTCATTCTGGATAAGAACACTATAACACTCCCCAACCTTTAGCAAGTCAGCCTTATTACACTCTCTTTTTCCATTCAATATTTCCTTAAGGAACTTAGAATAGTTTTGCATTTGTTTTAATGCATCGGTGAAAGGGATAGAAAGATGAATTTCCTTAAGTATGTGAAGAAATCTTCCAAATTTATCATCAATCTTGCTCCTCAAGAAATTTTATGGGTAGGGAAGTTTGGGTTTGATCACGTCATTTTGCACATTCTCTCCCATGTTGACCTTCTCATTAGCAACCTCACACTTTTTGCTAGACACATCATGCTCATCATCGTTGAATTAATCACTCACCCTTTCAACTTCTTGAGTCTTCCTAGAAACACTCTCTTCAAAGACCTTACCACTCCTAGTAGTGATAGAATAGACCGGTTTCTTAGGTTCAATCCTTTGAGAGGGTAGAGAAGTAGAACTAGCACTCACTTTCAAAGTGTTACCTAGTTGAGTGATTTGAGTTTCAAGCATCTTGCTATGTGTCATCATTTCATCGAATTTCTTATCACTAACCGTCATGTATGTGATCAAAATCTTGGTTTGATATTCAATTATCTCTTCCAAATTAGAGCTAGAAGAAAAAGAAGGTTGAGCATGGGAATCATCACCTTGACCTTGGGTCTTTGGAGCAAAAGCGGGTGGGGGACCCCTTTGAGCATTGTTTTGAAAGTTTTCCCTATTTTGATTGTTCCAATTACCCCTATTTATATTTTGGCCATAGCTTTGATTATGGTTATCATAACCTTGATTATGCTGACCATAACCTTGGCCTTGATTTTGGCCACTATAACCTTGGTTATTATAGGTAACCCGGAAACCTTGGTTTCCTTGGTTCCTACAACCACTACCTTGGTTATAGTTGTCAAAATTTCTTTGGTTGTGATAGTTCTTATTCCCTTGGCCTCTTTGGTTATCAAACCTTGAACCATTGTTGTTATAAGACACATAATTCACATGCTCATTCTCATTACTACTAAAATCATCACACCCATCTGAAAAAGCATGATGGTATTTAGAAGAATCATGCTCATATGAACCGCATATATCACAAAACAAGCATACACTAGGCATTTTATTGGAAGTAGATAGAAGAGTAGAGTTCGAAGATGTACCTCTCCCCTTATTTTTGGAGGGAAAAGTAGGTGTTAGAGATGAAGAACTCTCCAATTTTGCTTTGATGGATGTCATCTCCTTCCATAGATTTGAGATTTGTGAGGATAAGTTGTTGATGGCATTGAGGTGATCAACGGAGTAAACCGTAGAGCCACTCTTGATTGTTGATTCTCGCTCACTGTCTTGCCAATCCATGTAATGCCTCACCACATCTCCAATGATATCTACAACTTCCTTTTCCGTTATGTTCATAATGGGTCCTCCGCCTCCCATATCAAGACAAGACTTCCCTTGAGGGCTTACACCACCATAAACTATTTAAATGATTTGGTAGGTAGGAATTCCTTGGTGAGGACACTCCCTTTGATAGTCCTTGTACCTTTCCCAAGCTTCATAGAGGTTTTCATTAGATCTTTGCTTGAAACTTTGGATAAGTGCTCTTGCGTCCGCCGTTTTCTTTTAGGAATAAAACGGGATAGAAAGTCCTTAGTAGCCTTATCCCACGTCCTTAATGAGTTCGGCTTGACTTCTAGAATAATTGCAATCAAAAAAATTTCAAAAGGTTATCTCCTAGAAGTCAAGATAGGTTTCCTCTATGAATGACTAGGAAGAACAATCACAAATCAAATTCAATCAATAAATGCAATCCATAAATCAGTGGTTCGTGTCATGCATTAGGAATCACAATGCAACCTAGCTTGAAAATCAAGGTTAACTACTCCTTAACAATTCAATCACTTGCACAATTCTATCAACCAATTTAATCACAACATTCAATCAACCAAAATCCATCAATTAGCAATAATCCATCATTCATGCATGCTTCACCATCTCCCTAGCAAGGAGTCTACTCACTTAGCATGTTGAAATTGAAGAACCAAACTAAACTAATCATCACAATCATCGTCATTATTGTAAAAAAAAAAACAATAAAGAATCAAACCATTCAATAAACGTGAAATTGCAACAATTAATCAAAATCAAATACAAAAGATTGAATTAAAAAGAAGAAGATTCTTACAAACTTTGATCAAAATCAAAGAAATTGTGCTTTCATTGAAAGTAGAAGGAAATTAAATGTAGAATTCATCCAAATTCTTTCAAGTTTGTCTCTTTTAAATCTAAGAACTAGAAAACTAACTCCAAAACTTCTCTCTCTAGCCTCTTTTAATGAATATGAATTAAATCATTATTCACCCTCCACGCTTGAATAAGTAACTAAGAAGAATAAAGTGGACGTCCAAAAGAAACCCGTACATGCGCGCCCTCTCTCCAGAATGCGCGGTTGCGAAAACGAGGTGTTGTGCCTGCGCTTGATGAATGCGCGCCTGCGCCTCTGGAACAGGGGACTTCCTCCCTGTGTTCTTCAATGGAAGAGGTGAGCTCCTCTTGATCGACATTGGGGATTGCTGTCCCAAAATGAGTTTACGGTAGGTTCAACATCATATTTTCATGTGAGCGCAGCATAAGGGCGCAAGCATCAAATCTTGGAGTAAGCCATCCCTTGTTATGTGATCTATATGAGAGTTTCAACCTTGCACTTTGAGCAACCACTAATCTGAGGAATCACCATGAGGGGCCTTGGACTTCACCTTAGACCTTAAAATAAAGAAAGGAAAACAAGTAAAAGGGAAAATATGATAAAATCAACGAAAATACAAGAAAAAGGTATAAAAGACTAGAATGAGACCAACTAGAGAATAAAATACTAAAACTAAGGGCAAAAGCATAAAGAAAGCTATTAAAGCAACTAAAATCATCCAAAATAATGCCATTTGAGTGCCATAAATGGCACTCATCACGATGTTGGCCTTCTGGCTAGTATGTTCATTAAGAAGTTAGAGCCAAATAGGAATACAAGTATCCTGAAATTGTTGATGCAGCTAGACGACAAGTTTCCAAACCACTGTTAGGCAATTCCCTTCAGTGTAGCTATGAAGCATCTGCACCATGTGCCTTCATCCAACCCCTTTAGATACATGAGGTTGGTGTATGCCATTAGGTGATCTTCTGGCTTGGTGGTGCCATCATAGGCACCAAGCAATACATTATTAACCTCGACTGGCTGTGCGGCCTTGGTTATCTCCTTTGACAACGCAGAGGGTTGTTCTCCAAGTTTGAGCAGACGGAGCTGCCAGCCAAGGGTTGGACTTGATATGTCGCCTGTACCTCGAAGAGGGCGGGTTGCTGATATGGTTGGGAAAACGACCCGTATGTTTGTTGGGGCACATACGTGAAAGTAATGGTGTCCTTCCAACAAGTGTATTATTCCAATAGATGTTTTGGAATTATTAGATAGCTAACTCTTCAGTGAGTTCAAGTGATCGGAATGCCTAGGTGGAGGCCGCTTCCGATCAGTAATATTAATGTATAATTAACGTTATGGCTTAATCTTGACTGAACCCTTCGGGTCGCACCCCAATTGAATAACCAATCCGAGACGACAAATCAATCCGAAGGAGTAGATGAGTCATTAGAGTATTACGAACAAAGACGTCGTATATCAAGCTTAGAGCGTCGAAACTGAGCGCCACAAGTCAAGTCGAATTTAGAATTCGACAAGACGTAGAATCAATCAAGCAACAAGTACGAGCTAAATCGTAGCATCGCATTGACCTAGCCATACGAGTGCTAGGCTAGGCGAGGTCCTAAACCACATGCATGCGAGAGTGCCAAGCATCACCAAGAACTCGCACATCGCACAACACGAGCATCGCAAGTTGCGTGCTATGTGTGTGTGTGATGTGGCTATGCGTGCATGACTTTGCGTGCTTGCTAGCATAGCAGCAGCATGCTTGGCATCGCAAAACACAACTCGCAGCATCGCAAGCTATGCGTGCGTGCTAGTGTAGCAGCACCAAACAACAACAGCTGGGCCTCGCACCTCACTAGCACACGCAACACAGCAGCAGCAACAGTCGGCAATGCATGTGTGGCTTGCTTGCTTCACGCATGCGATGTGCGAGCTGGCAGTCAGCCCAACCTTAGTGCAAGGCGCCAGCTGGGCAGCCTTAGCAGCCAAGGTGGGAAACCAGCTAGTTGTGCCAGTGAGGCCAGGTCACGGTTTGTGGAGGGGACCGGTTATAGGGGTTTTCTTGGGGAGAAAGTGTGGTATGGTCCCCCCTTCCTTCTTCCCTTAAATGGTCCTCACCTACTCTTGCTCACCATGTGCCACTTGGAGCTTGTTGATTGTTTTGCATTTTGACTTGTTTTAGATTATTATAAATTGGGAAAAATGCAATTCTCCCACATTGATGGGGAATGGGAAATCAATCACTTGAGTTGAACTCTACAAGGCATCTCATCATTAGTGAGAAAACCTTTAAGTTCGTAATACTCTAGTTTTCTTTGGTCTAGCCCCTTTAAGACCACTCGGGTCGAGTCGAGGGTGCGAGCCGTCAGAGGCTTACGTACTTGCGAAGCTATAGTTTTCAAGTAAGAGCTCGTTATAGAGCGAAACACGCATCAAGGGTAAGATCATCTTTTCTCTTTCTCTCTCTTTTTTTGTTTAACTATGTGATTGATGTTTAGTTATATTAATTAATGTGCGGGTCTTGGGTGGGTTTCATTAATTTTGGCTCATTAACCTAGATTTCGACCCAAAAGTAGTGAATTTTTGGTAGAATCGATGTTCTAAATCATTTTTGACCCTTTTTGAGGAATGTCCAAAAGCCAAAATCAACCCAAAAACATGTTTCTCGAGGGGTTTTTCGTTTTTGACGAAAATTTTAAATCTTTAAACCTTGATTAATTATGGCATGTTAAAGGTAGATCAAATGTATGGTTGCATCATTAATCTACTGTAATAATAAACCTTATTAAGCATGTTTATGAACTCATAATTAGTGCTTGATTTGGCAAGCTCATCTTTCACATAAACTTGAAAATTTCACAATTTTGCAAATTAATTGCTTCAAGTGTGAATGTTTATGGTGAGGACTGTCCAAAAGCCAAAATCAACCCAAAAACATGTTTCTCGAGGGGTTTTTTGTTTTTGACGAAAAATTTTAAATCTTTAAACCTTGATTAATTATGGCATGTTAAAGGTAGATTAAATGTATGGTTTCATCATTAATCTACTGTAATAATAAACCTTATTAAGCATGTTTATGAACCCATAATTAGTGCTTGATTTGGCAAGCTCATCTTTCACATAAACTTGAAAATTTCACAATTTTGCAAATTAATTGCTTCAAGTGTGAATGTTTATGGTGAAACTGTAATTTTGAAGTCCCTTATATGTTAAAGATCCAATCTTTAATTGTTTATTTGGTTAATACTTTGATTTCTTAATTCCATGTTGAACTAATTTTGGGATTTAATCATTTTTTAGTTGATTAAAGTCCTAAAAGTTCAAAACTTGTTTTTGAAATTTAATTAATATTCATATTGAAAGATGTAATTTTTCAATTATACACAAGTTAGTGTTGGAAATTTTCATTAGGTGAATGGGTTTATTTTTCAAACCTCTTTAATTTTTTCAAATCTCATTACTAATTTATGTATGGTTAAATTTATTGTGAGTATAGCCCATCATTTTTGTAGCATCATGATAAACCTAAAATTAATGGTTCTTGAATAATTTTGGTTTGTGCACTATAAAATTGAATTAATTTAAGTTAGACTTGTTATATTTTCATTCTTGCTCAATGTTGGTTCTAAAATAAATTTAGAATCAATTTTATGCCACACGCATATCAAGATAAAAATCCCGAGACAAGTGCACGCAAATCGAAGTAAAGACCCCTAAAAAACACACCCTTGGGTGAATTATTTACAAGTTCGGTTTAAAGCAATGGATCTCAAGGCCACGCTATTGCTTGGCCTCATCTACATTACCATCGCCGTCGCAACCGGTCAATAACCCGCTGCATCACCAACCCAACCACCACCGGCTAACACCCAACCACCTCAAGCTAGCCAACCACCACCCGCCACTCAACCACCTCAAGCTAGCCAGCCTCCCTGAGCCACCTAACCACCTATAGCTAGCCAGCCTCCCGCAGCCACCCAACCACCTTAAGCTAGCCAGCCTCCTCAAGCTACCTAACCACCACCAGCCACCCAACTACCCACCAACGCACCACCACCATCCACCACCCAATCACCCCCAGCAGTGGCTCAAGCCCCTCAGCAATCCCCACCACCTGTGGCCACCCCACCACCAGCCACCCCACCACCAGTGGCTACCCCACCACCAACAACCACCCCACCCGCTGTTACACTAGTGGCTGCACCGGCTAAGTCACCGGTTGCGGCTGCGCCATCTCCAT